TTCATAATTGCCTTTGTGTGGCTTGCGACACCTGGCGGTGCTCAGGGCTTACTCCTGACTTTGTGCTTGGCCATCACTCCTGGTAGAGCTTGGGGGACCATATGTGGTGCTAGGGACTGAACCTGGGTTTGCTGCATGCAAGGCAAATCCAGCCCCTAAAATAATTTTTGTTCTTGTTGGTGTTTGCCACACTGGCCTGCCTTTGAACTCACTTATTCATTCTGATTCATCAATTCTGCTATTGAAGGTTTCTAGAGTATTTCCTAGTTTTTTTTTTTTTTTTGCTTTTTGGGTCACACCCGACGATGCTCAAGGGGTTACTCCTGGCTCATGCACTCAGGAATTACTCCTGGCGGTGCTCGGGGGACCATATGGGATGCCGGGAATTGAACCTGTGTCGGCTGTTGGCTGCATGCAAGGCAAACGCCCTACCCGCTGTTCTATCGCTCCATTCCCAATTTCCTAGTTGTTACTGTAGCCCAGGCACCTCCTTTGCCAGGCGCCTCCTAGCGAGTCATAGAGAGAAGTCATAGAAGCATGACTAAAACTCACTCCCTCTAGGAGAGTGACTTCTGTGACTTCTGTGACTTCTCCTATGTCGTCTCTCTGTCGAAGGTCTCACTTTGTCCATCCATTCTTCCGTCACTGCGTATCTTTAGGTCCATGAATTCAGATTCAAAAATATCTGGTGTATGGCTTTGTCTGTTTTATTACAGTGTTTTCTCAGTTTTAATTTTGATCTTTAGTTAGGAACATATTTCTGTGTTCTTTATGCTTGAATTTATTTCTATGTATCAGAAAAAAACAGCTGCATATCTCTCTTCAGAGTGGCTTCATGTAGGGGCTGCATCTTATCATTCTATATTCCCCTACTTCTGGGGTAATTTTCAAACCTTTATAATTGTCTTGGCTCAAAGATTATTTCATTTTTTCACAACTGTGAGCTGGCACTGGTGCCTGGGCTACAGGTCTAGGATCCCTGGGACAACCTCAATAAGTTCCCTCACCTAGGGTGTGATGAGACCTTTTGGTTTTCCAAACGAGGGATATTTTTTTTGTGGGGGGGGGGGGTATCTCATTTCAGGTTGATGGTCAGTCCTCAGGAGTTTTAGAAGTCTGTCATTAATGCATGGTCCTGTGGGTCTACTTTCTCCGGAGAAGCAAGGCCCAGTGCACCCCCACTCACTGAGAAGCTTGTGAGGGAGGGCTGGGGCGGAACCAGGCAGCATTCAGTGTGGTTGTCACGGAGTAATGGGGTGAGTCCACTGGCTCTGGTGTGCCAGGAAAAAAGTGCTCAAAGGGCATCCAGCAGCGCTCGCCTTGGGTGAAATGCAGAACTGCCCTGTGATTCTTCTTGAAAGTGCCAACAGGCTCTCCCCACTGGGAACTGCTCAAAACCAGCTGGGGACTCTCCAAACACAACTTCGGAACTCACTCTATGGCTCCTTCTGCAGGGGCCCTGGGTGGGTCCGCACACTAATCCCTGACTCGGGTACCCAGACGCAGGACACTTTTTGTTGTTTGCTTCTGTTTTTCTGTGGTGCTGCAGATCAAACCCAGGGCCTCACCCACGAGCGGTGACAGACACATGCTTTATCGTTGACTCCCCCCTCCCCGCCCCATGTTGGTTTTCAAAGTTGGAGATTTGAGGGGAGTCCCCTAGGTGCAGGTGCCAAGTGAACACAAATCTCTCCTCTGGAGCTGCTCCATGTTTGAGGGTCTTTAGATGGCAGAGCACTGCTTGGCAGAGAAGTTCGGGTGTCCTGGGCGAAAAGCAGGTCTGCCTCTTCTACCCATCTGTCCTGTTGACCCTCAACTGGAGTTGTTCAGTGTGTTCACAGACATTTCTGAGAGGGCTGTCCACAGAGAGCAACAAACTCGGGTTTCTGTAGCAGGTGGAGAACCCTGGATCTTCCTCCTTTCACCCTGAAGCCATCACACAGGAAGCAGAGGCAACTGGAAGGTTCTGTTTTGTTCATGGCATAATTTTTTAATTGGGGTTCTTGGGGCCACACCTGGTGATGCTCAGGGCTTACTTCTGGCTCTGTGCTCCTGGTTCTGATTCAGAGGACCATATGTGTGCATGCAAGACAAGTGAGAGTGTGTTGTACTCTCTGTCCAACCCCTGGGTTGTTTTTGTTTTCTGAGTGTGGGAAGTGCTGCAGTGTGATGGGGCAGAAGCTGAGAGGTTGTTTCTAGGAGTCGGAAACCACAGGACACAGGATGACTGACACGTTCCCTCTGCCTTGTAGGCTCCAATCTGGGGACCGGACCAGTGTGGTGCAGGCAGCTGCTGGTGACTTGTAGTGAGCAGATAGGAGCCTGACGCCACAGTCAGGGCAAGGTTGGACTGGGGGTCTCCAGTGTTTACAGTGACAGGAGGTTGGAAGAAGATTACCCAGCAGAGAAGCAACAGGTCACAGGCGGAGCCCTGGGGACCCCAAAGACAGAGACTCTGAAGGTGGAGACAGTCGAGGTGGCTGAGACTGAGAGAACCAGTGCCTGGAGCCCACGGCGGACTTGGGGATGAGTGTCAGATGACCTGAGATGGGGCCGAGTGCAGGGACCAAGGAACTTCAGAGCCTTAGAGAGACGTCGCTGAGGCTGTGAGCTCTTGGGGGTGCCTGGCCCAAGTTCCTTCCTCAGTGGTGACAATGCTCTCGACGCTTCAGAGTTTGGGAAGTATTACAAGACTCTGGAGATGACGTTGGTCCTCTTCAAGGAGTTTGATCATTTCTCCCATTGACATTTCCCACCAACATCCCTTGTGTGTCCTGTGAACATCTACACTCAGGCCTGGAAGCACCCACTGTCCTGAAGCTTTTCCCGTGACAGGTCACCGGGCGCCAGTACAGACTCGTGTTTCAGCGACTTGAAGTGTGACGATCACAAGGCCTGCAGTTCAAGATGGCAGGCAATGCTCTGGAGAGCTATTTGTCCCGCTTGCGTAAAATGTACAGTGTGCAAACGAGGTACAGTCACATGATCCCTCACCAATCTCAAACATGAGCCAAGATCTGACATCGTTTTGACACCAGAACAGAATGGAAGAGGGGCAGAAATGCTGGACAGAGTGAATGAGGCCAATAGGGAATTGGCTATGATGGTGGATTTTCACCCAGAAAACGGTTGCCTCAGTGCCACGCCAGCAAAGTGCCGAGCTCACTCGGCCAGGCTGGCTGTGTCCTGGCAAGGAGGGTCCCTTTCTGGTGCAGGGCCCCAGCGGATGTGGCCCAGTGCCACCTTTTCTTGGCATTCTCCAGATGTGACTATTTGGAGCCCCTTGAGTCCCTGTGAGCACCTGCCTCAGGCTGCTCCCTGGGTGGTGGGTACCTAGGTCTGGGGGTTGGGACAATGTCCCTTGCTGGGCAGCCCTGGACACGGCTCGGAGAGGACATGGGGACATGGACACATGCCCAGCAGGTGTTTCTGAGTGTTGGGCGTTAGTGTGGCACCTCCCCAGGCCCGAGGCCACGTGGATGAGGGCACCAGCAAGCACCTCCATCTCTTGTCCACATGTCCTTGGCCCAGCCTGCAGCCCCGTCTGGGCCGTCACCTCGTCACCACACCACCTTCCTCTTCAGGCTTGTGGTTGGGGTCCCCACCCAGAGGAGAATGGCAGGTCACACGTTATCTGTCACAGGTGCGTTATGCTTGGCCTAGCTCCTGGGCACAGACCCGCTGCAAACTCTCCATTGCGAACACGCCGGGTTCCCCTCACCCCGCCTCACTGCGTGTCCCCGATCCCCGGCACTAGGTGGGCCAGGTGGCCAGCCCACGCTCAGGCTCATCACCTCAGGTTCTGACACCTGGATGACTGCCCTGGATTGCAGGGCTTTCCATGGGGCAGGGGGGTTTCCTGATCACAGCAGACCCCGCACCCACTGAGTCTCCCAGGCCCCTCCCACTCCTGGCGAGTCATCTGCTTTCTGTCCCGACAGCCAACTGCGGACATCCTCAGGAGAGGTCCCGTCTTGCAGTGGCCCCTGGGCCTGGCTGGACTCTCCCGAGCTGGAGCAGCTCATGCTGCCTATCCAGACTGCTGGGGTTCCCAGGGCTGTCCCCCACTGAGGATCAGCAGCATGCACTGGACTCTCTGATTTCAGTTCTTTGGGGTGAATGCCAAGAAGGGAAACCCCCGGGTCAGCTGGCACGCCTGGATTTCAAGGGAACCAACCTGTTTTCTACGGGGTCCGAGACATTTCACAGTTCCCCAGCAACGCGCTGGGGCTGCAGTTTCTCCACAAACTTGCTCGACTCCATCTGGGGCCACTGTCCTCGACGTCTCACCTGGGTCCCAGAGACTTCGGGACGGGCCACCTTCATACTCTCGGCACATGTGCGGCTGCAGGGTCAGGGCTGTGTGCAGTCCCTGCCTGCACTTCTCAGTCAGCGGGATGCAAGGGAAGTGACCACGTCCGCCGTTATTTTCATCAGCTCCTAAATTTCCTGTCAGAGTCGTGCCCAAATGTGGCAGAAGCAGAGCCTGGACTATCAGGGCCCCTGCGTCTGCCACCTCTTTCCTGAGGCCTCTCTCAGGAAGCTGTGAGCATGGTGCCACATGGCCTGGTGCCTCTGCTCTCGGGGACCCCTTCCGTCCTGGGCCCAGAGACTGGCCCTGGCCCACGGGCTCCCCCCGCTCCGACACTCTCTCCTCTCCAGCGCCCCCATCTGACTGCCGGCACCTTGGCACCCACCAGTGGGCAACAGTCCTGCCCTATCTCCCCCTGCTTGATGCTTCTAACCCCAGGGCTGGGCTGAGGGGTGCTCCAGGCCAGGTTCACCCTGAGCTCCTGCACCCACACCAGCTCCCTGTGGGCCCGCGGTGGATTCACGCCCCCCATCACGCTGGCCAAGACCGGACAGCAGCCGCTTCGCCGGGACAGGTGGCCTAGACAGAGCAGGGAGTCTGCACCGCACCCCTTCTCCTCCAAGCCCTTCAGGGAGGCCTTTTGCCCTTGGACCCCAGTGGCACTTAGAATCAGTAGGAGAGAGAAATCCAAACTTTCATACGATTGGTTTAATTTTTTTTTCAGCAGGAGAAAAAAAAGAATAAAGTTACAAGATTCTTTTAATATTTTCACAATGTTAAAACTAAAACTGAGCTCTAGGCTATGTGTGTAAGTAAATCTAGAACACAAAAGGGTTAAATAAGATTTTTCTCTCTTAAAGATACAAGAATTTAAGCTTTCCTTACATTGAACAAACTTCACAGAACAGAGACTGCGGGGCACAGCCCTTCCGCCCTCCCCCCCCCCCACCCCAGCTCTACCCTCGGGAAGTGAACAGGGCGCGGCCCCCTGTGTGCCGCCCGCCCCTCGCTGCCGGCCTGAGGAGGGCGGAGGGCACGGGTGGGCTCTTCGGGGTGGGAGCCTGAGGAAGGCCGTGGCTTGAAAACAGTGGTAAACGCGGGCGGACCGGGCCCCCTGCCCTGGGCTGCCCGAGAGCAAGACGCCAGGCTGGGTCCTGAAGCAAGAATTAAGGCTGGAGATTTTGCAGCGGATTCCACTCGGGGGTGGGGGTGGAGAGCATGATTTCCTAAGTTCGGTATTTTGGACCAAAAAACACTTGTACTTGTAGGTGTTTCGCTGCTAATTTGCAGAGCTGAACTGTTTGCTGTGGTGTAAGAGGGAAAGTTCCAGAAGCCTGTGTGGGCAGATACAAACCGTCCCTGCAGGAGTCATGTCCCCTCACGACCTGTGTCAGATGGGGCAGCGGGGCCGCTGGATGCCCATCAGGTGTTCCAAGGGTCTCTCACTCCTGCGACCGCCGCCCCCAGCCCCTGCAACAAGGCCAGAGCCCACCTCTGCCCTCCCGTCGGGCCTGAGCGGCTTTCTGCCTGGGCGCAGGGGCACAGGCCCTGCCCACTGCCCGGTGGGACAGGACGCCCCCTCAGCTCTTGGGCCTCCGGCAGAGGGCAGGGCGGGGTCCGCTTGCCAGCGCCCCTCCAGCTTCCCCTGGGCCGGGAAACTCTCCCAAAGGAAACTCCCAATCTAGGAATCTAGGGCAGAGCCACGGGGAGCGACCACGGGGGCCCCTGACTGTGGCCCAGGGCACTGGATCCGGTGAGGGAAGGGGGTCTCGGGCTGGGCTAGTCTTGAGTGGAGTAATTTCAAAGTGAGGTTATTGTTTGTCTTCTTGGGTGAGGAAGAGTTTTTTTTCATAGCAAGTCAGATAAAAAATGTTCCTAAGAACCTGCCCCCCAACCCCCGCCAGCCCCGGGAGCACGCGGCCAGCAGGTGTCCTGCTACCGGGACTGGGGAGCAGTGAAGAGGTGCGAGGCCGGACTTTAAGCAGTTTCTGGCGGCGCCGTGTGCGTGCGTCGTGGGGACTCTGACGCCAGCTTCTCCTCCAGCGGCTCCGAGTCCCGTCTGGAACACTTCCGCTTAAGGCTTTTTAATGTTTGACCCCAGCAGTGACAGGTATGTGTTGTTTTGAAATCCACTAGCCATGCTCAAAAAAAATATTCTTCATGTTTTAATTTTATACAATGGCTAGCAGGCACCTTAGTAACCAGCCAGAAATCAATTTCAACCACCATCAACCCCTAAACTACAGTACCAGGATGGCTGGCTAAAGAAAGGGAACGGACTGGCTGTCGTCTGGCGCGCCCAGTACAAGGTGTCTGGCTGACTTTGTCCTAAATAAGGCTAACATTAGTGAACTAAGAACAGCGTCGTGTGGCGGCCGTGCCCGGCCTTCAGGAGCACCCCTCCCCGATGCGCTGGCAGGAGCGCCCCACTTTCCGGTCCAGTTTCACCATCTTCATGATGGCCTCCTCTCGCCCGCGGCCCATGTGGTCAAACGTACAGTCGTGCTGCTCCGGGAGGCGGTGTAGCATGCAGAACACGTAGCCTGTGGCGCGGGGAGCAGAGAGACAGGCGGTTAGGGGACTCCGAGCCAAGACGCCCGCCCCGCCCCCCGTGGTAGAGGACGCGGGCAAGAGAGGGCACCGTGGCCGGCGACCTGCTTGGGACACCGAGGCCTGCCGGGGTCTGAAGGGCACAGTGCCCCCAGGGGCCACCGCCCTGAGGCAGCCCTGATCCCAGTGCGGCTCCTGCCTGGGCATGGTGCAGTGCACAGAGCTGACCGCTGCCAACGAGGGAGAGAGTGGCTGCAAGCCCCTTCCCTGCCAGCACGCCGGGCGGGCACTGCGGTGGGCATGGCCACCTACTCCTCCCAGGGGCGAGAGCGGCAGAAGTGACCGCGGCGTCAATCGCACCCTCCCGGACGGCAGGGCTCGGGCAAAGCGTGACCAAGCCCCGACCCGCAGGTGAGGGGTTCTCAAAGGGACATGGATCATCCCAAGGGCTGGGAAGCGTCACATGGGAACAGGAAGGGATGGAAACGCCAGCTCCAGAGGCTCTCGGGAGGCGGGGGAGGAGGCCTCCGGGGACTCCAGGGCTGTCTGTGCCCTGGGCATGAGCAGGGTGGAACTTCCTTCCTACTTTCTGATCCATCTCAAGCAACCCTGGGGGCGCAAAAGCAAGTGTCCAAGGGTCTCCTGGAAGTGGGAGAAGCTTCAGATGGGGGAGAGAGCTGCCAAGGCTGGCCGGCTCCTCACCACCATCGTGGGCCCTCAGGAGCCTGCGCCCCCGAGACTGAGCCCCCCGAATGCCCGTGGGCAGGCCGACTCCGTCCTCGGACTGCTGAAGTTCCACCAGGACCTGGCACTCACTCTCTAGGCACGCAGCCCCCTCCCAGACTTCCTTCTGTCCAGCCTGGGTCCTGGCCGTCAGTGTGAACGGGGACCACCCTGCAAACCGGTTCTTCCAAGCTGGCTCCCCTCAGGTTCTCTGCAGAACTGAGCAACGAGTGGTTTAGGGGAGCGGCGGGAACTGAAGCGAGACGCTGGAGCACACGGCTCTGCCCTGGCGCACCACGCAGCCAGGCCGGCCAGGGCCATCCATTGTGCGTGAAATACATTATTAACTGCTTCCTAGGGAGACAACGTGTTCCACTCTAAATTGGGATTTGGGTTTAAGGAAAAGAACTGAGATGAATTTTCTGTCTCTTGAGAAGTCCAACTCCCACTCGGTCCAAGAGCAAAGTTAAGATTAATGAGCTCCTGTGTTCTATTTACTGATAAGTTCATTAGTTGCAGATATTGGATACCAGTTGTCTTTCCCCTCAAGGACCTCCGAGTGGAAGCGCGGATGGCCCCGATATGTCCCCTCCATCTGACAAGCGCGCCGTCTTTCCACTGAGGGGGAGCCCCAGTGCTAAGGTCGGGTGGGGTGAAGGCGCCCCGGGATGGTGGCGGGGAGTGAAGGCATCTCTGCCACCCAGCCCTGCCGTTCCGCACTCCCCGCCCCGCTCAGCTCCCAGTTTCCTTCCTCCCTCTATGGCTCTGGGACGGTGCAGAAGGTCCCAAGGGCTCTTTTGTGGTGATGGATGGTGCTGGCCAAATAAAAGTAGCAGGAAATGGATTGCCTCCGAAATGAACTCGGCCTGGCTCCGACTCACACCTCATTAGTCAAAGGCAGGCTGGAGCAGAGGGCAGCTCCATGGACCCCAGCCCTGCTCACGTGGGCAGGGGCACACCAAACCAGCGCGTGTGAAGGCCCCGCCCGCCAGGGCGCCGCACCTGCACGCGCACCTTCTCAGCTGCACCTGATGCCTTTGGTTTGAAAACCCAGGGGAGGGGGCTTCAAGCAGTGCCCACAGGCCAGTCACGGCACTCCTTGGGCTGAGCTGGGGGAGAGGGCAGGCGGGTGGGGCTCGGGACGGAACGTGGGGCCTGGCGTACCGCAGGCGTGACGCCACCCTTTGGGATCTCTCTCTTGCCCTGAATTTGATTTCCAAAAGGTGAAAACCATGAAATGGCAGCTGAATTTGGGAGCAGCACTGCTAACGAGAACATATGCCACTGTGACACACTGGGGAAAGTCAGGGGAAGTTTTGGAAGGCTCATTCCTAAGCTGCTGCACTGAGGTTATTAGCTGCATAAATTAGGCTCAGTTCCTCTCCTGTCACCCAGAGGAGGCTGGACCTGTCCCAGGTGCTGAGTAGGTATTACTCACTGGCCCTAGGGACTGGTGGGTGGTGTCGGGTGTGAAGTGACTGCTACAGGGGATGAAATTCTATCTTTTTTCCTTGGTAGCTGTAGATGGTTCCAGAAAGCACCGTAAGTGTCATGAACCCTCCACTGCTCTCTGATTGAATTCTGGAGACCATGCTGGGTACAGAGAGATGAGCACAGGCCGCTGGGGAGGACGATTGCTCTTAATTTCGATGACGAACGCGTTTCAAAGCGCAAGGGGATCTGCGGGCTCCCCCAGCTGGAGCCCAGAATACCCTCCACTCTTCACCACAAACACACCTGCCCCTCCCAGAGAAGGTCGAACAAGGTAGTGTCCTGAGGGACAAAAGCAGAAGAACAACCCAACCACTGGGCTTATCAGGATATCATACAATGCTCTTTCTCTGGATGGAAAACAACAGCAACAACAGCAACAACAGCAACAAACCCCAAACTGAACGTCACAATGAAACTCAAGCCCTCACTCACAGAGGAAGACTTCTCTACATTTTACTGTTCAGCTTCATTTAGTTTAAAGACAATGCCAACAGCTTATCATACCTGTATACCATGCAGTGTGTTAGGAGACAGGAGCACCCAGGCTAAAGGGCTTTCTGAGGGGCGCAGTGTGTGCTGGGTGGGGCGGGGGCGGTGCCCTGGTGGGGCCCAGGTGCCGGTGAGCTGTGTACAAGGCAAGTTGGCCCTACCCCGGCACCCTCTCTCCTGCCCCCAGCGGTCTCTGGGAGTCTGCTCTGCCTCTGAGTGAGGACGCCACCTCGGCCCTCTTCCCAGCTGAGGAGCAGGGCTCCTTCGAGGCTGCTTTCAGTCAATCTGCACAGGACAGTCAGAACTTGCAGCAATTCAGAAAGGAGGGCGGAGCGGCTACCTGCTGAGCGCTCGGCCCCTCCCCGTCCCCAGCTCCTCCCAGGCCCTCCTGGCTGGGAAGTGGGAGAGCGGGGCCGTGGGGCAGAAGGTGATTCCAGCCCGCCTCCTCCCGCCACTGAGCTGGGCGTCACAGGGGTCTTCAGCAGCTGCCCCACCCTTGAAAAGATCTTCATCTTTCAAGGCAGATCGGGAGAGGACAAGAATGGCTGGGCTTTGGGCGCTCCTGGGTGGGGGCAGGTGCCAGCCTGCCTGTTACCATGGGACACAGCTCAACAACTGGAGTCCCACCTATGTCTCCGGGCCCAGAGCGCCCTGTGTGAGTGACGTGACCCCGAATGAGGAAGCAGCACGCAGGTCCCTGCTCTCCCAGAGGCCTGGGGCTCCGAGAGGAGAGCTACATCCACGGGGACCACTGAGACAGGAAGCTATGTCACAGGTATCTGTGCACCCCAGAACACATTCTCAGAGAAAACAGAAGCGAGACTCACGTTCCAAACTCCTGCAGATTGGAGTCAGGTTTTCAAAAAGGTTCGTTTTGTGGGAACCAAACTTTCCACCTGACCCTTCAACTTTTCAAGTTAACATCTGAACGTGATACGATTCATTTAGTTCCATCACCCACAGCTAAGCCTCACATCTGCTGAGAGCGCACAGGGTGTGGTGGGACCTGAGGCGAAAACCCATGATCAACAATTTTCACACAAATGCGATCCCTACACAAGATGGCACAACAGCCAACACCTTGCCTAATGCTACGAAGGCATAACCGTATTTCCTGTTTCACCGTCCAAGAACACTGGCGCCTCAGCCAGGGTCTGTGGAAAGGGCCTGTGCGCTGTGCTCAGGGCTTGCGCACTGCAGAACCGGACACCCACTTCCTGGGCTGAGACTCTGCCCCTCGCCCCCTAAACAGCACCCTCCAGCTCCCCACTGCCAGCATACCCCTCCCAACTCGGAGGACCAAGCAGACTCTGGAACTCATTTTCCCATGAAATTTCGAAAGAGGATGAAGAAAACTGGCAAGTTTCAAAGCCTGAGACCTTGACATTTTAATTCAATCCCTGCCAGACAAAAATGCAGCTTTACTGTTACGTAAAAAACACTATTTAAAGTTGGTTAAACTGAGCAGTTATGGATAAATTTGGGTTTTAATAAGCTGAACATGCATTTTCTTACATATCCCCTACTTCTGACACACCCAAAAGGGGTGTTTTAGGAAAGTCACAGACCAGGGCAGGCTTCAACTCCAGCTGGGCAGGTGTCGCTTTTTATCTCACTTGCAAGAGAAGTTTTAAACTTCATGGTCACTGGAATTGCAAATTGTCAAAGGTTCAAGCAAAATCCTAAAAGACTGACAAGCCTTTTTTATTTTTTGCTTTTTTGGGTCACACCTGGCGATGCACAGGAGTTACTACCGGCTCTGCATTCAGGAGTTACTCCTGGTGGTGCTCGTGGGACCATATGGGATGCTGGGAATCGAACCCGGGTCGGTCGCGTGCAAGGCAAACGCCCTACCCGCTGCACTTTCGCTCCAGCCCCAGACTGACAAGCCTTGAGGACTCATGTAGGACGTGCTGTAGGAAGCAAGTGGCGAGTGGGTCCATGCATACGCATCCGCCCAGCTGTGCCCCCGCTGCCCTCTGGCAGGCAGGGTCGAGGTCCCCGCAGATGCTCACAAGGGCCTGCAGGCTCTTAAACTCCCAGGGGATGGACTGGCTCAGTTCAGCTCAGCCCAGCTCGCCACCACGGATCACCTGGTACCTACAGTGTCGAGCAAGTCACGCAGGTGACAGATGTGCTTGACACATCTGTGTGTCCGCAACTACGCAGCGTATTTCTGAGGAAAGAGCATCACAATTTCTCAGCAAGCTGCAAGTTCCTCGAAGTTCAGGGCAGCTCACTGACTTCAAAGCTTGTTTGTAAGAACACTCTGGAAACAGCAGGCGCT